GGAAAAGAGAGAGGATGGAGAGTCAGCCATTTTTCATGGTGCGCATTGGGCGCTCCACAAGGATTTACCCAAAGGAGAATCAGTCGGCTATCTTTGGATTTGGCCAAGAAAACCTTCAAGAAACATGGGGATTTGAAATACCATGTTGAGCATGTCATGTTGCCTAAATTCTTGGAATCCAGGATGCCAACTGATTTGTTTGAAAATGTAGAGGCTGAACGACTATCAAGGGTTAAGGAACTTGAGCTGAAAAGAAAGGCCACCAACGAAAAAGCCAGGGCACGAAAGAAGCAAAGGAACAAGCTCAAGAAAAATCCTACTGCTCAATCCCAAAGCCAATCTGGAGGCAACAATAAATCCCCTGTTTTGAAGTTACCTGGCACCACGCTGAACACGAGAGGATCCTCACCGGAACAGGAGGTAATCATGAAGACAAAAGGATCCTCCCAGAAGAAATCACAGCCTGCTTAAGAGGCAATCATGAACACAACACGGCAATCCTCCATGAAGAAATCCCAGCCTGCTCAAATTGAAATGTTGCAGGAGGAATCAGATGATGAGTCAGATGGTGATTGGTCAAAATCTGAGGGGGGTGATGATTCCCTTAGTAAATCTGACGATGAGATCCTTCAATCTGATGAAGAGGTTGAACTGAATGATGATGTCCTCTATGATGGTGGACCATTGGAAGTGGATGAATCGAACAATATGGAGCAGTCCAATGATGAGGATGATCCTGTTGTGGTGAAGTCGATTGGGTTTGGAGAATTGGTTCATTTTGTGAATGATCTATGCATTAATTATCACATGGTACCAATTTCAATGTCGAAGGCAAACAAAGCTTCAGTGAAAACTGCCATGGTTGCTTGGGGCTGGCATGAGGATGAAAGAGATGGAGAGGGTTGGAAGGACTATGTTAAGAACTATCAGACCTGGGTCCCAGCGATTCATAAGAATCTGTTTGAGAATTACCTGTCAAGCTTTGTGGAACTCCTTACAGCCACAAATGCGAAAGGAGATTCCAAAATCTATGGACCCAACAAAGCCTTTCCTCGAGCCAATCTGAATGAATTAATCCAGGACTACCTTGAAGACGAAATGCAGGCAGGCAGGGTTGATTCCGCCCAGTGGAGAGCTATCCTTGAATTTATTCAAGGGGAGGAAGCATGCTGCTTAGTGGAGGTAGAGTAGACCAGAAAAAACAGAGGAGGGAACCTATACGAGGCAGATGCACAGGAAAGGAACAAACAGGACCAAAAAAGAATTAAACAACAATAAACCAAATTTATTTAGAAAGTGGCTTCTTCTGGATCTTGGGATGAAGTGGCTTTGTTTCAATATCAGAATGATCTTGCTCCCTATCATTCCGACCAGCGATGGCAGTCTTATAGTACTGCGCCACACAGATTACATCAATGCCATTGGGATCCACCCAAGAGGACATGCCATGTGGTATTCTTGGATTAAAAATGAGCACATCCCCATTCCTCAAACCTATAGCTTTCCCAAGTGTGGGGAAGCAGAAGTACACCAGGATGGGGGAGTCCCTATCCAACTTCCCAGGGGCGACAATGGAGATGTCATCTTCATGCATGCTGACATAGCAGTTCTTGGCGACTGCAACAGAGGGGAAATATGAAGCAACTTCACAGTCCTCAGTAAGCTGCAAATCCTTTGTCCCAAGGAGCTCATGGAGAAGTCTGATTCCATGGATGGTTTTGGTGTCTAAATAGCTCTCAGATATTTTCTTCACCTTCTGAAGGTGGTGCTTGATGGCGGCAGTGTTTTTGGCTTCTATGCCAGCAGGAAGAAACCTTCTGGAATATCCTTTGTCACCTTGGGGGACTAAAATCCCACCAGTGAAATATCGTTGACTGCCCTGACCCTCCTCAAACACCATCCTTCTTTGGATTTTCTTTTCCAAATAGGTTTGGGAAAGATGGGGGCTCAAATCAAGGGCCTGGCCATATCCACGTGCTGTTATGCCAAGGTCATTCTTTCCCCCCCCCCCACAAATCACAGACAAACCTCCTATCTACCAATATGACATCATCGTTCTGCCCTCCCACAATGCTATCAAAGATTTCGAAATCATCAATTACAGATAAAACCTGATGGGAAGACTTGGGCAGGTTGAGTGGTATGGTTCCAGACTGCCCTCCATTCACATAGGTTCGTGGCACCCGAGCCTTCTTCTTGTCCTCAGCACCCCTTCTTGGTTGGGGAATGGCCACACTGAGGCTCCTCAAGCCCTTGTCACTTGCATCTTCAATGGTAGGCAATGCATTAATTTTACGTTGCTTGGTTGCACATCTTCCCCAGTAGCGTCTGGATTTTTGGGATGGGTTGGTTTGGGAGGTGTCTGCACTTTCGTCCACCTGAGCTTGGATCCTTCTCTTGACAATTTGAGAGCTAATGGCAGAGCCCGCTGACTTGCTGGTGGACTTGTAGGGTACCATGCACCTTCCACCGAAATCATTCAAAGGAGGTACCTTCAGTTTCATGGTACCTTGAAAATTGAGCTAGTACTGGTATAATGAGGCCAGCCATGCAGTGGTAGCGGATAAAGCATGAGTGGACTCTTTGTGGATTTGCCTCAATACCGCTAATTTCATAGGGCAGTTGGCACCATCCACAGTCATCAAGCTTTCACCCGCGATACTGGCCATCTCAATCCACCGCCGCAATAAGCAATTCCCAGCCAATGCAATTCCCAATGAAATTCCCAATGCGCTCGGATCGATCTCAATTCGAGATCTGGATCCTCCTTTTTGGTTGATTCAATTCTACAAGGGAAGAATTGTGAGCAGGGATCATGAAGCTCTGTATGCGTGCATTGGCTTGCTTAGTATTTTAAAATGGCCATGACATATATTGTATGCAATGTACTATAGTAGGGGTCGCAATCATGCATGGCAGACAATTTTAAAATTCGAAAATAGAGATCCTCCATGCTTGCATGCATGCATCCATGGCGATTAAAATAGCATCCTCTGAATGAGTGGATCGTCATCGAGTCCAGTCACCCATAGCGATCAATCTTGTCAGAAGAGAGCAGGCCAACCCATCGAACTATCAGTCCGATGGGTTGGCCTGCTTGCTTGCTCAACTGAAAACGTGACAGACCACTATCGTTTTCAAAGGTAGCGTGGAAACTGCAGTGTGCATGCATGCACATGCTGCAGCTGGGCTGCATGGAGGCAGTTTCCAAGGTAACGTGGAAACGGCAACGTGGAAACTGCAGTTTGTGGAAACCATGGAATCATGGTCCGTTTCAAGCTGTTTCCACGGCCTCAATCAATCAATATGATATGATGCATGCAATCAAAAAGACCACAAATTCTGGAGTCGAACCCTTGACATCATATATAGAAGAATCCATCCTACCAAAATACCAATAATATAGCTAACGTGTGTTCCATGCACAATGGCCAGAACTAAATTGAAGGTGGCATCCAAGAAACCCCACAGTAGTACAGCAACAGCAGTGGGGGGGAAACTCATTGGGAGGGACAAACCTCGTAACAAGTTGAAACGACGTAACTTGCACAAGGCCATCCATGAAATTCGAGACTACCAAATGAGTACTGATGAGTTGATTCCACGGGCTCCCTTCGTTAGGGTCGTCAAAGACATTAGTCAGGATGTCTTGAAAGATAAGGATGCCTTATTCAAGCTCAAACCTGATCAGGTTCGATGGTCCAAGGAAGCTATCGATGCTCTCAAAGCAACCATAGAAGATGATTTGACTAACGTGTTTAAACAGGCTGTGAAATGCCAACTTCACGCCAAACGAACCACACTGATGCCATCCGATATGAAACTCTACATGAACATTGCAGAATCCCAGAAAAACTTTTATGATAATGTGAGCCATGACCATGTCAAGTTGGCCAGTGCCAGAAAGGAGATTAAGACCAAGAAGAAAGCTTCAAAGGATGTCGACAGTGACGAAGAAACTGTAAGAACACAAGGAGGCGGTGGTGCAGCGATCCAGCCCGACCAAGAAAAAAATGTGAAAAACAAAGATGCCAATCCTGGGAACAAACAAGGTGGATCTATAAAAAATCCATACAAAGCAGACCAATCTGGCTGGCTTCCTTGTGGCGAGTGCAACAATTTAGCTGGTGGTGCATTTAAATGCATTCGGTGCGAAAAAGAATATGCATAAAGATTGTGGAAGGATCATTCCAGAAAGTGAAATGCGGCCTGGAGAGAAAAATGGACGATTGTGTACTCCATGCTCAAATGAATCTATGGATCTGACTGCAGATGAGTAGATTATGCAATGACCCAAAGATCAATCTATATATAATCGCCATGGCTCTATAGATATAATCTTATACATAATATATATATGTGTGTCTATAGTGGATGATCGATGCAGGCAATAATATATAGAGCTCAATTGAGGGCGGGAGGGCATGATTGCATGATCGATGCATGAACCCAATATAATAATAAGGCAAGCATGCATGCATGCATGCAATCATGCAAGTGCATGTCGTGCAAGCAGGGCAACATTGGGGTTTGAATGAGTGTGATGGTGACGTTAAGCTTGTGTTCAGTTTGGGGTTATGGATGTGTTGGAATTTCTGTTTTGGGATTGTTAAAATATGTAAAACATTAACACTATTGTTAAAATGGTGTTTATCTATTGCCAAATTAAGGATTTTTAACACTTGTGTCAACGTGGTGGTAAAAGATGTGTGCTTATTTCCAATTTTAACTATCTGTTAAAATGACCATCAAATATGTGGAATTGGATAATTATTGTGTTAAGATTTCTATTTTCACACAAACTTGACCAATATTCGAGCCTTAGTGTACATGTACGTACTCTACCGACGCCGGTACACCATCATTGGAGCATTGGGTGATGTCGCGTGCACGCTGTGTGTTGAAATAATGGCGCGATGTGACTGACCGGCCTGAGGAATGAATAAACCAAAAAGGGTCACCAGCGACCAGGATACCGGTACCGGTGGTACCACATCTGCCCTCGCAACCCGTACTCGTCTGCCTCGTTTGCTACAAACATGTACTTTTGGTGCGGGCATGTTCCTCCTCAATCGGCACAAGAAGGCAATCGTGATGGCAGATTGGTGATTTACGAGCCTGTTCTTCCTTGGCTGCGCTTGCCTGAACTTGGCGTCATTCTCCTTCTTGGGTAAAAACACGGACGCTGCGTGTCTCCTCCGAATGTGAAACTTTCACGTGGCTATGTAGTACGCATACTTGGGATTGTCCAACTTTGGGTAAAATTGCCAGCAGTCTTCCTGGACCCAGAGTTGTAAAGAAAGCAACGGGAGCGGAACTCAGGAGTGGAGAATGAGGCTGAAGTTGGCTCCGCCAAGATGACCACGGCTTGTACAAAGATGACGCTTTCCTACGGAAGACAGTCGTCGTCTGCACAGCCTCGGTTACTTCGGAGTTTGAGGGAAGGACGGGGTGAACTTCTACATGTACAACTGGCTAGCTAGCAGCTAGCTAGTCAGGCTGTTTGCCAATTGCCAGCTAGTAGGATACTCGTGATCCTCATAGATGTTACAATACCGGTATTTGAAGCCAAGACTCCAAGCCAGCAGGGCATAATGTCTGCTGGAGTGACCAGTCTGGCCCGCCACCCTGTATGTGGCTGAAGGAGCCAGCAATCAACCCAAAGCAGCCCACTGTTTTGGTTTCCTGATTGCTGGATGCCACCAACATGCTTTTGGACCATGGAATTTTGCTTTTTGCCGTCCATGGTCCCTTTCTCTTATGGTGCCTTCTGCCTAGTGTTTTGCATAGTCAGGCGCTGGTGTAGGAGTTTCACCGGACCCTGTGTGTCTTCGACCACAGGTGATCCCGTCCTTCTTGGACCCATAGGCGCCGTTTGATCGCCTCCCTACTCCTCTTGTCGATTGCTCTTAAGAGCCGCAAGGACCGATCACGGTCGTAAGGAACATGCCCTTTGGGCTTTACTATTATTTAGTTATCCTAGCAGTAGCAGTTAGACGTGCCATCATGGCCGTCTTAGGCGTATTTCTCCTGTCTCCCGCCATGGTGGATGCTTTCTTGCCACCGTACCACGTGGTGACCCGTGGAGGTTCGCACCCCATGGTTACCCGTGGAGGTTCATACGCACCTCTCGCGTACGTCACGCGGAATTTTCGTCCATCTGGGGGGACCCCTGGATTTAATACGGAGACGCCCTCTAATCCCCAGTCGTGCATTCGTCGCCCAGAGAGCCGCGCGAGGCGACTCCCCTCGGCCCACCAATTTCTGGCGTAGATGGCCGTTTTGCATATTTGAACATCTAAGACAACACTAAGGGATATACGTTCTGGGTGCCTAGCCCCAACCTGTCGTCCGTCAACAGCATCCCCTTTACTGTTGCCAATACAGGGACGGTCCTAGTTTGCCGAGCGTCCGCCACATGCGGCCGGTCGTTGGTTAGCTCGGCCTGTATTGGCCGTGGGGATCAATATTTCACTTCGGGATTTCCTGAGCCCCAAGGGCAGATTGAACTCACAAGTCGATTCCTTACTGAGTCCAAAACCCGCCCTTGCTTCCTGCCAACCATCGCTAGCCTTTGCCTGCCATGTCTGCTCGTCAGCTCTCTCTCCGTCGCGGAAAGAATGAACCCGTCCAAACGTTTTCTCGTGCCCGAGGAACCGATGAAACTACTTCGGCTCTCCTCCGTTGTACCCTCCAGCCTGGCATGAACAACAACCATCGCCAGCAGGTGCTTGGGGATCCCAGCAATGCTTCCCAGTTTGCTTGCATCTGGAATGCCAAGGTTGGAATCCTCACCCGTCCCGTGATCATCACCCTTGACAATGGAGACCCCGTTGTTGTTGGGGATTTTACCGACACCATTGGTGAGCCCTTCGCTGTTTCCCTCCCGGTTGATGAGTTCTTTGGGTTTGTTACCACTCTTGTCTGTGCTGGTGATGCCGCGCATTTCCGCTTGGGAGTGCACCCCACCTCCCCTGATACTGTAGCCGGACCGCCGGTTGCTCCTCCTGGTGGAGTCCCTCCTCCTAGGCGCAACCGGCAGGACCCCCCAGCCCCTGTGGAAGCTACCCTTGGGCGCCTCAACTTCCCTGGCCTCCCAGACGAACCTGGCAATGATGACCTACCAAGGATTGCAGCTTTGCCGTTGTTCCTCCCTCTTGAGCCTGGTTTCACGTTTGAACACCGCTCGGATCTCCAGAACAACCATTCTTACCGTGACACTTACCGCCTTTTCCATGTCTGGAGGGAAGGAATGCAGTACCTTCGCGCCATGAACGGGTGGATGTCCGTCACCACCGGTGGAACGTTGTTCCACCTCCCTGGACTGGAAACCGCTGCCGTAAACCCCATTGCCCAGCTGGCCATCCGGCCCCGGATCCTTGCTGCCCCTGTGCCTGTCCTTCCTGACAGCCCCCTCTATGGTCCATCTCGCACTAGGTTTGCTACCTGGTCCACCACTGCCTGGGTCGACATTGGATCTACTTTGGAGCCCCTGGCCGACGAGATTCCTCCTGCTGTTGGAGGTGGTTTAAGTGCCGACCAGATCAAGGCCGTTGTTGAACCCCTTATCAAACGAGACAAGGCATTTGGTTCTGCTGAACGGACTGCTGCCCGTCTCCGAATCCTTCTTGCGGGATTGCCCATTGGTGACACTGATGACACTGCCGCCATGGTGCTCCCGGATCTACGGGACGAGTTCAGTGCTTACTTATCTATGGGGTCCAGTTCCACTGCCGGTGATGACCTACGAGAGTTGGTCAAAGCCCGGTTGGTCCTGTCCAATGCAAGTGACCGAGCGGTAGACTCCAGCGTCACTTTCCGCCCGGAGAATATCACGTTGGCGTTCAGTGACAGGATCAGGACTTTCTCTTGGTTGTCCGTCCGGCTCCTGTCCGCTTCATTTACAACAGCCCAATCGAACCTATGCCTTATCCATTTCTTGACCCCCGAACGCGACGCACTGTCTGTCGTTGCTGACGGTGACCACCAAGCCCGGACGATCCTCATGGCCAACTCAACCAACAGCACTGCGCAGATTGAAGCCACAAAGAACAGTCAGCTGTACTCCGGGGGTGCTCTGCAGCACTTCCGTCATGTGTACGAAGCATTCTGCAATCTCCGGCTCCTTTTTGCAGTCATGATTACTGACTTAACGACACCCATTGTTATTGTCAAGATGGCGGAATACGTCAACCTATTGATGGACGCCTCTGGGAAAGACCTATGGGATGTGTACCGAAACCATCCGTACCTTGCCATTCACCCATGGCAAGAACTCCAATCAATCCTCGGGGCCTTTCTTAGGCCCGCAACCAATGCCACTTTGTATGCAGGAGTGATTGCAGGAACGGGAGTCCAGTACAGTGATTTCCGTGGCGCAATAGCCACTGCTGATTCCCATATCCATGACCTCCAAGCCATCCTAAATGGGAGCGGTTTGGGAAAATTTGAAGGCACACCTACTTGTGCCTCTTGGTTTAAATTCACTGGAACCCATGCCGGCCGTCCTCCTGCAGCCGCCCGTCCTCCTGCAGCCCCCCCTGCACGAAGTGGTGATCGGCTTGGTGACACAGCATCTGCTAAGCGCCAGAGGGTGGACGATCCGGCTGACAACGATCGAAAGAAAACCCTTGGTATACTTACTTTCGACTCCACTGTCGCTGGGACTAGTCGTCTTCCCACTGTTACAGCCCGAGCCAAGAAGCGTGGCTCCAAAACCCCTGAGCGGTTGTGCATGAAGTTCCTGACTCAAGGTTTCTACTGTGGCAATGGCAACGACTGCAAGATGCCTCATATTGCCAACATTGAACTCCTTACAGAGGACAATCGGGCTAAGCTCATATCGTTTGTCAAGGCCCAGGCTGGACTTGCCTGGGCCCCTGGTAAAATGCCTGCTGGTGAGACTTAAGCATGTGCTCCTCTGCCCCTTGTGCCCTCATGATCTCCTGTCCTATAATGGCGGTCCATGAGGTTTACTATCTCCCACTAACTACTAAGTTCCCTTGGCTTTCAGTCACCTCTTCTTCCTTGTGCGTCCCAGACCGGACACTTCGTAGCTCTAAGTTGACTATGAGTGGACCCGGCCTGGGGCCACGGACTACTTTGTCAGACTCTACAGGTTCCTCTAATGACGCTGTCGATGCGCTCTCGCGGTACTTGCCCAAGCCTGGCCCCAGATCTGTGCCCGCTGACGATGTACCAGACGCTGATATTGGAAATGGCTTGGCCATTCGACGTGCCCAAGAATGGTACCCGACACAATCCGAAGTGATTGATCCTGAGGACATTACGCTGAAGGAAGTCTTCACACAGTCCGTCCAGCGACGCTTCCGTGGTCAACTTGCCGAGCGACACCCCGCGGTGCTGGCCAAAGTTGACCAACCATTCGGTAAGGACAATCTGTCCCAGTTTCTGTATTCTACTCCTGCCCTGCGACATGTTCTGCTTCCACTGGTGAAGACTGGATTCCTCCCGATTGGATCCAACGACTGGCTAGCATTTTGCACCGCCTACTACCCTGCCCTTGTTCTCAAAGAGCTCCTGTCTGAGCTTTGGACTACCGGTTTCCGCGGAATCCGTGGATACCCAGCTGGCTGGGAAACGGAGACCGAGTTGAACCTCAACCGTGTCAAGATGGCCACTGCCGCCCTGTTGTATTTTGATGGGAGTGTGGCTGATCTGGTCCGGTGGATTGGTGGGCCGCATGTTGCTGCCCACAGGAACCATACTGCGACCCTTGAAGCTCTGACCAATGCTGGAGCTGACTCCCACGTTGTCAGTAGCCTGAAACGGATTTTCCACTCTGGGATACCTGCCCACTGCCGGGCTTTCACTGATGAGGACAATTTCCTGGCCTACTACAAGTATGGGAACCACACTACTGTGGAGGACGAGCCAGAGAAAACCTATAACGCTATGGTCAAGGACAACCGCAAGGGGTACACCCTGGTGGTAGACAGACGAGCTGTCCTGTTCATGCTTCACTGCCACCTCACTCCCCAAGGGGTCGTTGACTTGAACACTATGTTCAAGAATCCCAGACCTATCTTTGACAGCAGTTTCAGACCTCTACCGTCGAGCTATGCTATCAATGATTGGACTTCCAAGGACTATGAACCCCCTCTTACCTTTGCTGGGGCTGAAATGGGATTCATGATCTGGGTTTACAACCTTCGTATCACCTACCCCCTAGAAGAGATCTACATTGCTGACGATGATGTCAGTGGAGCTTTTCGGCTCATGAAGTACCATCCAAACTGTATGGCAATGCATACTAGCATCCAAGCTGGTTACGGCGTTATCAACACCGGTGGCACCTTTGGTGATAACACTTCCCCATCCAACTGGGATACCATTGGGCAGGCCCGCCGTCAACTTGGCAGGCATCTTTGGCTGAACGATCCTACTGTTGAAGCCAGAGTCCTCCCCCATCTCCCGGCAATTCAAATGGCTGAAATGCCTACAGATGTGGAATTGGAGGCCTTTGAGCCCATGTGGTAAGGGGGTGGGACCGACTTCCGTCTGCACCCAGAACCCCTCAGTTGATGCCATCGGCATCAGCTGGT